ACACTTCCGACACTCAGAAGTTCATTGGCCACGGCTGGCCTCAACCTTGAGCTTTAATAGTGTGCACCCTTGATTCAGTAGGCGAAGTGCATCTTTTTCTTTTCCTGCATTAAGCCTCCATCAGGCCCCCATATGGATTCCTACAAGTTCTTACCCACTTCCTGGCCTCTAGCCACTTTCCTTTCAACCTACCTCCATGCCAGATTCACCCAAAACTGGTTTACAACATGCCACTCCCACGTTTACGGCCTTCAGTGGCTGCATCTCTGAGCTGAAGCACTCCCTTGCCCAACATGCCTTACTACAAAGGCTTCACAACCTACCTTCCCTTTTCTACTCCCTTCCAAGCCTAATTGTTCTTTCCTATCTCTTGCTCTACTTTACTCTCAGAACTCAAACGGACCTGTATCAGTACCTGTGAAATACAAGGCACTGTAGAAAATAAAACTAATGAGCTTCCTCATCATAGCTCACAGCTCTTTCATGGAGCAACCCAAGTCCCATAACCTATCAACAGACATACTCTTACACTGAAGCCCAGAAAGCTATCCTTCCCAAAACCACCAGAACACTTTAATTTCTTACAAGTTATCTCTACATCCAACATGGGGTCAAACTCACAACGCTGAGATTGAGTCACATGCTCTACCGACTAACCCAACCAGGCACCCCACTTTTACTTAGTTTTAAAGCTTATTTCCAAAGTAGTGATCTGGTTTCATTCAGTGCTTAGTTGGAATGCCCTTCCCCACAAATCAAAGCAACTGACCATCACTTTTCCTTTTGTAGATGTACTGTTCCATTTGAAAGTCAAGGTTGGTGCCACCTAAGTGGGTTCCTGCTGCAAGGAATTTGAGGACATCCTCCTCCTTCATTTGCAGGACATCAAGGGCTCCGGACATTGTGAAAGTTTCCCTTTAAGTTACGACGGAAACCTGAAAAACAAGTTAACAATCCAGTCATTTTCATTCCAGTGACAAGTGGGTAAGGGACCAGGGGCATTCTTACCTACTCAAGAGCCAAACACCTTCATATTTAAACGCAACCCAAGGACCACACCTTTCAGTTTATAGTCTACTGGGATGAGACACAACGCAACAGACATATCCCACACGTTATAAAATTTCAGCAAATCTTTTGAGTGTGGAGATGGGAAAAAACACCTAAATAATTAAACAAGACGAAAATGGTGAATGGCCACGAACACTCCAAAGTAACCCGGAGTGAGGGCATGGATGAGTAACGGCAGTACAGATGCGAACAAGTTTGTTTTCAAACAGACTGCAGGCGGGCGCTTCAGAATTCTCTCTCTAGGGTTACAACTAATTTCCTGCAAAACCGTGCCAAAAATCTTAACACAAACGGGAACAACCAACAGCCTAAATAGCTGCTGTAAACTGGCGCCTGGGCCTGAGCTCACGGCCGAGTGCCAGGGTCCGGGGCGATCGAAGCGCGGTGCGTGGGCCATGCTTTCCACAGCCCCGCCGCCCAGCTGCAGGCCGGTCGGCAGCCTCGCCCCGGCTCCAGCACGACCTCCGCGCGCTCCCGGGGCATTGTGGGGACTCGCGGGCCCGAGCCCAGCCACGTGCGCGCGGCCGGGCAGTGGTGGAGCGCGCCGGCAGGAGACAGACCCGCGCTCCCTCCTAGCTTCCATCCCAGTCCTCGCACCCCTCACTCCAGCAGGAAGCTGTTCTGGTGGCTTTCGGAGAGGCTGGGGAACCCCACAAGGCACTCACGCAAAACAACGCCGTATGGACCCTTCCCTGAGTAGCTCGGAAAGGACAGGCGGGCGGAAATGACGTCCTTAAATACTCCTCCGCCAGCCAATGACAACAAAAAGCCGAGCGGAAGCGCGGATGGGCGCCCTGACTCTGCAGAGCCGTTTGCGACCGTTAGTGCTTTCCGGCGCCGCAAAGATGTTCCTCGCTGTGCGGCCGCCCCTGCAGTACTTCGTCAGGATCGAGCGCCTGTAGGCGGCCAGTACTAGCGGTTCCGACTTTAGCTCAGCGATTGGTCGCCGGGAGCTTGAGCGGGTTACCTGCCCGAAGTTGCGGTTTCCGTGCGTAGGAAGCTGGAACACAACGTGCCTAAATGTTCGATCAACAAAAGCTGGAATTTCTTTCATTTCTTGAAGGACAATTTGGCAGTCCGTAATTCAGAGTTTGAAAGTTGACTTACGGGAAATTTCCTGAAAAAATTAAAAGGGAAAGACTGTACAGATGGCAAGGTTTTTTTTTTTTTAATAGAAGAAAAGGAGTATCAATAGGTTATTAAAAATGTATTCTGTTCATATAGTACTATGCAGCCACCGAGAAATATTCAAAAGATACTCTATGTACAAACAAGAACTTCCGGATGAGGGACATTATTTTAAAAAGTTGAAACCCGTGTCAACTGTACTTCAATTAAAAAAAAAGGGATTAAGTCGGTTAAACTACCGACTCTTGATGTTGGCTCAGGTCATGATCTCAGAGTAAGATGGAGCCCTGCTTAGAGCATGGAGCTTGCTTAAGATTCCCTTCCCTGCACCGCTCCCTGGGGAGGGGTCTCGCTCTGGAAATGAATAAATAATTGAAGCCCTATACATTTAAAAGATGATGGTAAAAAAATAGCCAAGTTATTAAATTACATAGTAGGTTTCAATCTCCGCCACACCTGAGAATCACTTGGAGAGCTTTTAAACATATGCCCAGCCTCGATTTTAAAAATCCGATTTTTAAAATTGAAGTATAATTGACATAAAAATTTCGGTTGTACTACAGTCTATATTTGTATATATTGTGAAATGATCACCACAATAAATCCAGTTAACATCTGTCACCATCCAGTTATAAAGTTTGTTTTACTTGTGATGAGAACTTTTACCTTCTTAGCAACTGTCAAATATGCAACACAGTATTAACTATAGTCACCACGTTGTATATTATATTACATTTCCAGGACTTAAAAAATCTGATTCTTTTTTTGTTTTTTTTTAAGATTTTTTATTTATTTATTTGACAGAGAGAGAGACAGCGAGAGAGGGAACACAAGCAGGGGGAGTGGGAGAGGGAGAAGCAGGCTTCCTGCTGAGCAGGGAGCCCGATGCGGGGCTCGATCCCAGGACCCTGGGATCATGACCTGAGCCAAAGGCAGACGCTTAACGACTGAGCCACCCAGGCTCCCCAAAAAATCTGATTCTTAAAAGTAGCTCCCTAGATAATTTTAATGTGCAGCCAGGGTGAGAACCGCTAATGTACAAGTAGAGAAACTGGGTTTTTTTCCCCTCTCATTTTTAGTATTTTTGAAATTTTCTGAGGAACACAGTTTGTTTTACATTGCAACAAAACCCCATTGCAGTTTAAAAAGCTGATATAGAAGGAAAGAAGTAAATTTAGTCATGGCTATAAGCATCCTTAGAAACTGCTGAAAATATCTGGAGACATTTTGGCTTTCACAAGAAAAAGAAGTAGCTCTATGAAAAGGTAATGGGTGGCTTTTAGGGGCAGTTTTCTGTCACTGCATGACTTCTCTGGAGGGCTTTCTGAGACACTCCCAAGCCACCGTAGGCTCCCTCCCATATGCACGCTCCAGTCCCAAGACTACTTCCTTTGTTACAAGGAGGACATGGTACTGTAATTATGTTTAGGTGTTTCTCCACAAAATATTTTTCTCACAAAATAACTTTGCTCTTTTTTTTTTTTTAAGATTTTATTTATTTAAGAGAGAGAGAGAGAAACTGAGATAACGAGCGAGCACAAGCAGGGGGAGCAGCAACAGAGTTAGGGGGAGAAGTAGGCTCCCCACTGAGCAGGGAGCCGGATGCAGCACTCGATCCCAGGACCCTGGGATCCTGACCTGAGTTGAAAGCAGACGCTTAACCAACTGAGGCAGCCAGGCGCCCCAGTAACTTTGCTCTTGAGGACTCATCTGCGTGATGAAAATCCTTGGCGAGGAAATGAGTTGACAAAAGCCCAGAGATGATGAATGCCTGACTGTGGTGGCAGTAAACCATGGTGAGGAGCCCTTGCCCCAAGAGGCATTTGTCAAAGAATATCTGAAGTGTTCTTGTGGCCACCTTGCTGCTTCCCAGTCCTCCTACACAAGTTTTCGCAACATTTTTTATTCATGCCCATTTTAAAAAAAGATTTACTTGAGAGAGAGAGAGCAGGGGGGAGGGGCAGAGGGAGAGAGAGTACCAAGTGGATTCTGAGCTAAGCAGAGTCCAACGAGGGGCTCAATTGCACGACCCTGAGATCATGACCTGAGCCGAAACCAAGTCAGTCGCTTAACTGAGTGAGCCACCCAGGTGTCCCTGTTCATGCCAATTTTTAATAAAAATCTCAGAGCCTATCTTTTGCAAACTTTTGATTTCTGGGGTTCATATTTAAAAAGATAAAAACTTGGGGCACCTGGGTGGCTTAGTTCGTGGAGCTTCCAACTCTTGGTTTCTGCTCCTGATCTTGGGGTCATAGGATTGAGCCCCATGTCAGGCTCCACGCTCAGGGCACAGTCGGCTTCAGGGTTCTTTCTCTCCCTCTGCCCCTCCCCCCCACTTGCACACTCTCTGTCTAAAATAAATAAATCTTTAAAAAATAATAAAAAGGGGGACACCTGGGTGGCTCAGTCGGTTAAGTGCTCATGCATTAGAATCCCAGCTTCGCCACATGGTGTGACTCTGAAGAAGTCCTTTAACCTCTCTCAGGAAATAAGAGCTATTGCCTATTTCAGCTGCTGCCGTTCCCCTGAAATGAGCGCCTGTGCCGGGAATCCTAGGCTCACACAGCATGCAAGTGAACAGAGAAGGCTCACCAGATATTTTATGAACCAAGGTGTCAGTTTAATGCTCTATAAAAAAGGAAAGTTACATATCAAATATCAAAACTCAAAGTTTTTTAATTCAATCACACATATGTATACTTGAGAAATCACATTAACTAAAAAGGACATAACTGTCCCTGAAATGGAGACAGGCCTGGAGATTCCGGGTTGCTTCAGTCACCGTGACCCTCAATCTTCAGAGCATTTTCACCAAACACCTGTAACCTCGTACAGGCCCCAACAGTCTTAGATAGCCACACCTGCAGGATAGTCACGAACAGTTTATTAAGAAGCCAAAGTTCATCGAAGTCCAGTGGAATGAGTTCCCAGCCGAACCAGCCCTCCTGTTGTGATGTGGAAACCGGGGTTTAATATAGTCCAAAGTTACACCGGAAGTTAGAACACAATTACAATGAAAACTCATGCTCAGTCCGGAGTTTGTTACTCTAAAAACACTGGCCTACATACAGGTTTTCATTCTAGTGGGATGGGACCCAACTTGCACCCTAAGGAATGCATGGTATAGAGGAAGCACCCAGTGAGAACAAAGGGCATTTCAGGCAGAAAGGAGAGAATGAACTATAACATAGCCAAGAGCATTCATTCAACATTCAGTAATCCACAGGCCTGATTCTGTGAGAGGGGGTTATTGAGAGGAGGGCAAATCACTTGGAGTGGTCAAGACCCAGGACAAGTAGGCAGTATACAAGTAGCATAGGTTAAGGCCTGACAGAGAAGGATTTGGGATATTCTCCTAGGGGAATTGGAGTATATTCTGCCGGCAGTGGGGACTCAAAGGATTATTAACAATGAGATGGGTATTATGAAGAGGTTTAAGGGAAACGTAAGGTTGACTTCCAACTTGTTCAGTTAAAGTGGCCACAGGACATCCAAGTAGGTGGGGATGACTAGAAGGTGGCTAGATGCACAGAGGTAATGAGGTGAGGTCTGAGGAATGGACAAAATAATTGAAAGACAGAGACCAGTCATTCAGTAAACATTCATCACAGCGCTTCTCTGTGTCTTTAGGCAAGGATGAATGAGACACATGGCCTCTGCCTCTCGGAGCTTATGACTGAACTGGAAGAGAGATTTAACAGCTACTACATAGTCACTTAAGTACAGTACTGCTAACTGCTGCAGAAGAAAAGCACAGGGTCTGTGAGCACGTAGAAAAGGCTGACCTAGCATGAAGGGTTACGAAAAGCTTCCCTGTGCAAAGGACTGAATAGATTGGGGTGGAACAGAGTGTTCCAGGCAGAGAAAATAGCAGTTCAAAGGTGCTGTGCAGCTGGGAGGCAGCTGGGGGATGGGGGAAGGTGGAAACATTAGGCATCAAGGGCACAGAGTACAAATGAGAACATCCAGGGAAGACTAGAGAATGGCTCATGGAGTCAAAAGGAGACAAGTCTGGCTACAGACAAGAATATGGAGGAAATCAGGTAAAACATAGGACAAGACTACATAAAGACAGTTCTTGAAGACAGCCAAGAAAATGAGGACGAACACCAGCATCAAGTGGGAGAGGATGGGGTGTAATCAGTAAAAAAAAAAAAAGCACATGATAAAAATGGTCCACAAATAGAGCTGGACTTCCATGTTTTGATAACAGTTCAGGAAAAATCATTTTCAAAAAACAGTGATCTTTTAAAAGAAGTCAAATTACTTCTAAGCATCAAATAAGCACGGTTCAATCTTAGAAAAGTACTATATATATGCAAAACGATTTGGAGAAATACAGCTGTTGACAGTAATAATGCAAAATGTTAACTAATAGTACTATGCTACAAATGCTCTCAGCTCTTTACAAAGTCTGTTACAAAGCAGTCCTTAGTTTTTCATCTTCCTGATGTCAGAAGTACACAAATTTAGTTAAAGTTGATTCCATGACGAGTGATACTTTAATTGGTTCTTCATGTAGATGAAATTCAGTGTGTACCACTCTATTATTCACCTGGAAGATTAAAGCACAAACTGTCTAAAAGCCCTGAGCAAAAGTCTTTTAGTAAACCCTACAGAGTGAAATGGCCGAATTCTATGCATTCCGGAAAGTGATGCAAATGGCATTCGAAAGAGCATGTCCCACCAAGTGCTTGGAATGCAGCACTCGGGATGAGAAGAGCAGTAGACTCAGGTCCACAGACCTAGGTTTGGTCTCAACTTGCCCCGGGGTAATAGTAGGCAAGATATTAACCCTTTCTAAGCCTTGGGGACACGTGGTAAAATGAAAGGGTTGGATAATGCTATGCCCAAAACATCCCACGGCTCTACAGTCTTGGGGTTGGTTATAAGCACAGTTACCATCTGCTACCTAACTAAGCTGTATGTGCCTTTAATACAAAGGCCACATCATGCTCATTTTTGGATTTTTTTTTTTTTTGCTAGGACCTACTCAGCAAGTGCTTTAAAAATGAAGGGTGGTGCCTGGGTGGCTCAGTTGGTTAAGCGGCCAACTGTAGGTTTCGGCTCAGATCATGATCTCAGAGTCCTGGGATCGAGCCCCACCTCAGCAAGGAGTCGCTTGAGGATTCTGTTTCCCTCTCCCTCTGCCCCTCCCATGCATTCACTCACTCTCTCACAAATAAATAAATAAATCTTTAAAAATAAATAAAAATAAAAATGAAGGGTGTTCAGTAAAGGTTTAATGAACATTAGTCAGCAAAACATTTTTTCAGTGATTACAGCATGAACTCTAGAAGCACTCTGCCCAGGCTGGAATGCCAGCCCAGCCACTGACTAGCCCCCACCTGTCACAGTGGATGCAAATCCCAGTAGCTACCTGAGGGGTGTTGGAAGGCTTAAATGGATTAATATCTGTGTAGCACAGAGAATAGTAACTGACATGGAGTGAGCCATGCAATAGATAATAGATGTTAGCATTGTTGTTACTGTACTTTTTTTTTTTTTAGGATTTTATTTATTTGAGAGAGAGAGAGAGAGAAGGAGCATGGGGGGCAGAAGGAGAAGCAGACTCCCCCCTGATTAGGGAGCCTTATGTGGGGCTTGATCCCAGGACCCTGGTATCATGACCTGAGCTGATGGCAGACGCTTAACCAACTGAGCCACCCAGGTGCCCCATGTTACTGTAGTCTTCGACAGTCTCTTCTAATTAGCTTTCTTTGGATGTAAAACTCTCAGATTGAGAAGAAAATTGCCCTTTAATCCTCACATGATAAACTACAATAATTGGGCCATTCTCCAAACTATGGTTCGTGTATAAATCTACTGCCCTTATTGGGCACCCATTCATTCAGTGAATGTTTACTATGGGCTACAAAATGGGGAGACAAATGTGAGGCAGAGTCGGTCATTAAAGAAGTCCTGAGTCAGGCCAAAGCTGACTGCAATGGTGGGCTACAGAGCAGGCAGGAACTTGAAAGCTCACCTCATATCCAATGCACTCGTATTACAAATGAACAGCAAGTGTCACTTATCCGTTTCCCTCAGCAGCTGGCTCAACCATGTTTTCTGAATGCCACCATCATCGAAACTCACGATCAGCCCATCATTTCCAAGCAACTTTTCAGTATCTCTCATGTTTTCATGGCAAAAGTCAACCTTCTCCTGAAAATGCTCTCATCAAGTGCATTACCGTCAGCACGAATGGAGCACGAGTTCCCTTGGAATTTACTTACCTTGGTGAAGAAGTCAGCGATGTGCCACTTATTTCCGTACTGTTTAAAGACTTTAGACATCGCTTCAATCATCACGGAACCAGTGCGAGGGTGCCGTAAAGCAACGTGATCTACAAAGCAAACACAAGACATTTCGTCCGTTTTCCTCCTCCCTTTGCACCACACTTTGTCTTTTACCCACATATAAACCTGGAAAATGGCTTTGAACTGAGAATACAGAAGCACTCTTGCATTAATAAGTGTGTCTGGGGCTGTAAGAGACACAGACACAAAAAGAGGAAGCACCTGAGCCTCCCAGGGGACTCCTGTGACCAGCAGCACGTAACCCCTCACGAGGGCAATTCTCTTATATGAATTTTTAAAATAAAACTTTTCAAATATACACAAAAGTAGAAAGCAAAGTTTAACAGATGCTCATATAATCTTCCCCGAGATTCAACAGTTATCATCATTTTGCCATATTTACTTCATTTTTTTTTTTTTTTAATTTCTGACTTTTGCTTTAGGATTTTAAGCTAAATACCCCCAGAACACACCCATATAGAATTCATTTTGGGGTCTTCAAAAATTCAGTGAAATTATTTTTACTGTTAGATTAAAAAACACAAAACATGTCAGTTTAGTGTGGAAATTTGATGGGAATATCAAAATTGTACCCTCTGATAATAAATCTAGGCTGGAACAGAAAAAACACGGGGACATCTTTGCAACCTCAGCATAGGCAAAGGTTTCTTAGAACACAAAAAGCATAAACTATAAAAAGAAAAAGCTGATAAATTGGACTTCATCAGAATTAAAAACTTTTTTTTTTTTAATTTTATTTATTCGAGAGACAGAGAGGAAGGAAATAAAAGGAAATGAACTATTTTTTTTAAAGATTTTATTTATTTATTTGAGAGAGAATGATAGAGAGAGCGAGCATGAGAGGGGGGAGGGTCAGAGGGAGAAGCAGACTCCCTGCTCAGCAGAAAGCCTGATGCGGGCCTGGATCCTGGGACTCCAGGATCATGACCTGAGCCAGAGGCAGTCACTTAACCAACTGAGCCACCCGGGTGCACAAGCAGGGCGGAGAGGCAGAGGAAAAGGGAGAAGCAGACTCCCCGCTGAGCCAGGAGCCCAATGCAGAACTCGATCCCAGTACGCTGGGATCATGACCTGAGCCGAAGGTAGATGCTTAGCCATCTGAGCCTCCCAGGTGCCCCCAAAACTTTTGTTTTTTGAAAGATGTTATTAAGAAAATGAAAAGCCACAGATCTGGAAAAAACTATCTGTAATACATGTCAAAGAACTTGTATCCAGAATACATAAGTAATTCTTACAACTTAACAAGAAAACAACCCAATAAAAAATTGGGCAAAAGATATGAACAGACATTCAGCAAAAGAAGATATATGAATGGCCAATATATATGGTGGCATTCAGACTAATGATTAAAGATAATCATTAGTCCTCCAAGAAATGCAAATTAAACCCCCAAGGCAATACTATTACACACATATCAGATTGTCTAAAATTTTTAAAACAGGTCAAACCAACTGATAATGAGGATGTGGAGAAACTGGAACTCTCATACACTGCTGGCGGGAATGTAAATGATGCAACCACTTTGAAAAAGAATTTCAATTTGGCAGTTTCTTTAAAAGTCAAACATAGGGGCGCCTGGGTGGCTCAGACGGTTAAGCGTCTGCCTTCTGTTCAGGTCATGATCCCAGGGTCCTGGGATCGAGCCCCGCATCGGGCTCCCTGCTTCTCCTTCTCCCTCTGCTTGTGCTCTCTCTCTCTCTCCCTGACAAATAAATAAAATCTTAAAAATAAAATAAAAATAAGTAAAATAAAAATAAAAGTCAAACATATACCTACTATATGAACCAACCATTCCACTTCTTGGTATGTACCCAAGGAAAACAAAATCATATGCCCAAAGACTTACACACGTGTTCACAGCAGCTTTACTTCTAATAACCAAAAACTAGAAACAACTCAAATGTTCAACCAGTGAACGGCTGAACACATTGTGTTCACGTTGTGTTATATTCACACAACTGAATACTGGAAATGAACTATTGATAGAGGAAGGAAATAAAAGGAAATGAACTATTTTTTTTTTAAAGATTTTATTTATTTATTTGAGAGAGAATGATAGAGAGAGCGAGCATGAGAGGGGGGAGGGTTAGAGGGAGAAGCAGACTCCCTGCTCAGCAGAAAGCCTGATGCGGGCCTGGATCCTGGGACTCCAGGATCATGACCTGAGCCGGAGGCAGTCACTTAACCAACTGAGCCACCCAGGTGCCCAGAAATGAACTATTGATAGACAAAACAACGTGGACAAATCACAAAACCATTACGTGGAGTGGAAGAAGAAAGGCAGGCAGACAGGAAACATACATACTATATAATTCTACTTATCTAAAATTCCAGAAAATGTAATCTAATCTGTGGTAACAGGAAGGACAACTGTGGTGACCCAGGGATGGGGATGGAGGCAGGGATAGATTTCAACATGAGGAAACTTTTTGGGGTGATAGAAGTCTACGCTGATCTTGATCATGGTGATGGTGTCATGAATGTATTCTCCCATGCATTCAAATGGTATGCGTGGAATATGCACAGCTCATACTTCAATTACATCTCCATAACGTTGTAAACAAATCCACAGAACCTATCTGTTCAGTGTAGGAACTACACAGGAATTTCAGTATTGTCCCTCTGAGAGTAAATCTGAGTCAGAAACGCCTCATCACAAAGCTTGACAATCCATCTCGCCCACTGTCGGTTGTGGCCCAATAATCAGCCAAGAAATCAATTTAGCAGACTGAAACTGCCTTTTTTTATAATGGGATAAAATGGGCTGTAATAGAAACTATTAAAGTGGCTCAAATGTAGCAAGCGCAGCTATGATTTATAAAACTAGTATTACATGTATGTTTATACTTCTATATAAATAGATATAATAGAATACAATGAATTATGTATTTTATCAATTCTAAGATCGAAGTTTCTTTTTCCCACCAATCTGAAATCTGGATGTGATGTATAATCTCTTCTGTGGCATAGAGAATACAAAATAATGGTATGCCTTACAATCAAGGCATTAGACTGGGTGAAACACAATAGCTATTTCTTCCTGTGGGTTATGGCAAATAACATTTGAAAACCTCTGACCTAATGCGGTCTCAACACCTTTGAAGAATCGCGTGTCAGTCAGCAAAACGAAAATCAGAGCAGCTGCCAAGTATCTTATCAAATGATAGATTATAAATTTCTCATTGCTTTGAAAATAATCAGCGATCCTACGTTCATGGCCATGGGGTCAGTCGTCAGGAGATTCTAGGCCACAAAAAAATGAGTCTGATGAGTGATATTGGAGAACTTTAGACTATGGCCGAAAGCTAGTAAATGTCCAGATTTACCAAACAAGGTCAAATAAAGTATCATTAGGACTGGGATTCCCCATACTTGCATTATAAAGTTGTTTAGAGGGGCACCTGGGTGGCTCAGTCAGTTAAGCGTCTCCTTTGCCTCAAGTCATGATCACAGGGTCCTGGGATCGAGTCCCCTATCGGGCTCCCTGCTCAGTGGGGAGCCTGCTTCTCCCTCTACCCCTCCCCCCTGTTCATGATCTCTCTCTCTCTCAAATAAATCAATAAAATCTTTAAAAAAATAAAGCTGTTTAGAGAACTCTGGCCATAGAACATGAGCGACAATCACAAGACTAACTACAAATAGTCAATAAGCAGGTGAGAGCATGTTGCAGCTTCTCTTGCATACAGATGACATGCCTCTGTCACAAAGCAGGAGAGACAAGCTCTAAGGACTCACTGCGGTCAGGTAGCTGGTATAAATGTCCATGGTGAGCTAAGATGTCAGAAACCCGAATTTTGTTGAAATCTTCCAATTTCTAAAAGAAGATAACTTGAAAACGTTTTAAATCCATTTTTTGCACATGATCTTAGCCAAAAGGCCAAGAAGTGATTAAATCCATTTGTTGAATGGATAATACATTCAAATGAGTCACAATTCATCCATCGGTAAGAGTGATATATATATACATATGTATTATCTTTACGTATTTATATTATATGTGCACGTGTGCATGTGCGCACACACAGTAAAATATCACTCATCCATAAAAAAGAATGAAATCTTGCCATCTGTGACAACATGAATGGACTAGAGGGTATTATGCTAAGTAGAATAAGCCGGACAGAGAAAGACTGCCATATAATCTCACTTATATGTGGAATCTAAAAACAAAGAAAAAGGGGCGCCTGGGTGGCTCAGGATGGTTAAGTATCTGACTTTGGCTCAGGTCATGATCTCAGAGTCACAGGATCGAGCCCCACGTTGGGCTCCCGGCTCAGCGGGGAGTCTGCTTCTCCCTCTCCCTCTCCCCCTATTCATGCTCTCTCTGTAGCTCTGTCTCAAATGAATAAAATCTTTTTAAAAATTTGAAAAATAAAAACAAAAAAACAGACTCAAATACAAATGGTTTAAAATTCAAATTACAAAAGGAATCCAGCAAAGTCTCCCTCCCTCCTCATCCCATGCCCAAGAAAACCAAAGGTACCCATTTCTCGAGTATCCTTCCAGATCTACACTGCGTACAAAGAGGCTGATACATATTTGAGGGTATAACCACCCTCCTCCCGATCTCAGTAGTATATTGTACATGCTGTTATAGGACCTGATTTTTCTGTTGTTGTTTTTGCCAGTTCATCTTGGAGGTTGCTCATCATCAATACATAAAGAGCTTCTTCCTCTGATTAAATAGTTGTTACTTTATGATTTATCATAGTTTATTTAACTAGTCCCCTAGAGATAGATGTTTAGGTTGTCCTTATACTTTCGCTATTATAAACAACGTCACTGAATAACGTTGAGCACATGTCACTCAGACATGTACTAAATATCTGGAAGATAAAATCCTCGACAAGGAATTATGTGTTCATTTACAATTTTGCTAGACGATGCCAAGTGGTCCTCCCAAGAAGTGCTACCAATTTACAGTTCCGCCAGGAATTAAGAAGTATATTCCCTATATACATTCAAACTTTTTGATCTCTTGCCAATCCGATAGATGAAAAGTCGTACTCCAATATTGTTTACTTTC